CACTAAGGGCCTGCCTTAAGTTATTGGGCATTCATTTCAGGAGAGACCAATCAGCATGGTTGTGTGTTTTCCTCAGCCTGTTCTGCCAGGCAAGCACAGGCATGGATAGAGTTGGCAGAGAGAGATTTAACCACAGTTGCAGTTTACCAGGTGAGTAGGACTAAGAAAGTGCAGACCAAGAGTAGAGGGTTATGTAGAGAGTGATATAACAATGGAACATGGAATAAAAACTGGGTAAAGGATAAAAGGAAACACATGACATGGATGACAAAAAGTAGTAAGACCCAAAATTGTCATTCCCAATTGGATGAAGATTTAGAATACTAGAAGGAATGACTAGGAAAGAAAGGAGGTCATGGTTGAATAGTGGAATACTCGAAATTGAGATTATGCCATGGATGCAATTATGGTAAAGTTAAGGTCAGATTGTAATCAAAAGAATGGACTGAGGTAGAGTAGAGAACATGGTCATGGAATAAGAAGTCAGGAGAACGAGAGGCCAAGATATTGAAAGGATCGTCTAGTGGGTATTGAAATAACTAGATTTATGAAAGAAGTAGTGTCCTAAAGAGTAATAATAAGCCAATATATTTTCAAGTAGTGAGGGTGAATGACCTGGAGGCAGGTATGTGGTGGTCTGTAGACAATTGTAGCAATGAATGGTGAGTATTACAGTCAGATAAAATTAAATCAAAGGCTGTTCTGGCCATGATGGAGTAATAGGAACTGGATTTATCTATCCATCTCAAACAACTAAAAACAAAGAACAAAATCAAAGTACAGTAATACCTTGGTTTGCGAGCATAATTTTTTCCGGAAACAAACTACTCGTATTGCAAGACATTGCTCATTTACTACGTTAAAATGTATTAGAAATGTTTGCTTGTCTTGTGGAACACTCGCAAACCAAGTTACTCTCAATCCAAGGCTTACTGTATATGAAACAGTGGTTTTCAGACATTGGACAACAGGCAGAGCAGGACAGTGATCCCTATGATTATTTCAGCTTACTGCCTGGAGAGACTTTCTAAGCAGCACTGAAGAGATGGGGAGCCCAAACAGCCCTGCAGTTTTAAGTTGAGGAGACAATTGAGAATTCAAAGAGGCCAACACAGCTAGAATTCTTAGGGTAGAGTACCAGAGATGAAAAAGCTTCACAGAGAGAAAGGTCTAGATCTATAGGAAGTTCCTCTTGAGTCTTCAGCTAAGCACCAATCGATCAGTGGATACATGTGAGGAAACTACCCAAGTCTAGAGAAACAACCACCAAAAAAGAGCAGGCAGAACAATTCCCAAAGTTTATGCAAGGCTGGGAATAGTTCACTTTCCCAACAGCCAGAATGGAAAAACCTCATAGTACATAGGAGGTTGGGTTGAATACCCACAAGGACATTGCCTCAGTAGTAAAAACAGATGATTCCTAGACTAAAAGCTGCTCTGGTTCCACCTAGTAAAGCTTAAAAGTACTCCTTGAAACGATCAGAGGTAACTTAGCTGTGTCCTAGAACATTGTTCAAAAATATTTAAAGAAGTGGGAAAAAAAATCCACCACCCAACATGGTAAAATTCAGAATGCTGACATCCAAATCAGGAATTACCAAGCATGCAAAGAAGCAAGAAAATCCAACCCATAAAGAGGAAAAAAAGCTATCAATAGAAACAGACCCAGAAATGGCACAGATGATAGAATTAGTAGACGGGGATATCAAAACAGCTAGTAGAAATATACTACATATATTCAAGAAGATAGAAAAAAACATGAACATGTTAAAGACAAGAAAAAAAACAAAAGACCAACATTAAACTTATAGAGATGAAAATGTAATCTGTGTCTGAGACCAAAAAATATATACTGGACAGGATTTAACAGCAGATTAGACATTTCAGAAGAAAAGATAAATAAACATGAAGACATAGCAATAAATACTATCTAAAATGGAACACAGAATAAAAGGCCAAAAACCCCACAAGCATCAGTGAGCTGTAGGACAGTTTTAAGTGGACTAATAATATACATGTACGTAATTAGAGTCCCAGAGAAGAAGAGAGAGGTAATGGGAGAGGGCATGGAGTGAGATGAGGTGGAGGGAAAAATGATATAATGGCAGAAAAATTACCTAATTTGATATCTATAAATCCACAAATCTAAGAAACTGAGGGATTCCAGCAGAAGAAACATGAAGAAAACTAAGCACATCATGATCATATTGCTTAAAACCAGAGAAAATCTTAAAAGCATCAAGAGAAAAGAGACTGGGGAGCTTTAGGAAGGAGAGAGTAAACTAATCTAGCAGTGGCTGAGGAAGCAGGGTCCTCAGGAGAGAAACTTCAGTGGGAGTTGGAAGGTGAAAAGAATGTTTAGAGAAGAGCTTGAGAATATAGAGATTCCGCTCATCCACTGGTTCTGAGTACTCCAGAGGCAGGCACAGTGGACAGGTTTCAGGAGTTGGGGAGGTGGCAGAGATAAGTTCAGATTACGGGATATATAAAGCCATATTGGGATAAGGATGACCTGTAAATCTTGACTCTCTCATGACCGATGTAAACAGGAAAAACAGGCACAATATGATTAGTCCTGATGGTCTCCAAGGCAAATTGTGATGGCGAGGATGTGACTGCTGAAGACAGGAAGACTAGAGATCTTCCCAGGAGCAAGCAGCTTGTCTTCAGTTCAACTGATGGAAGTATGGAGCCTGGGAAGGGCAGTATTACCAGATAAACTTTGGGGCCATAACTAATTTCCCATGTATCCGCCATGGGGGCGTGCGCGCGCGCGCGCGCGCGCGTGTGTGTGTGTGTTTCAAATCAACTTTGCATCCTGAGTTTCTAGGCGCCTGCTGCATGGACTCCATTCCTATAACCAGATAGGTCCCCAGCAAGAGGAGTTCTCCATTGGAAGGAAGTTTCCTGCAATGCCTAGATTCCATATTTGAATAGAATTTATTTTTATTTACAATCATGTTTGCTTTCTCAGAATCGTTCTAATACCTTTCATAACATGGTTTTTGCACTCACATCCTAGAAATGTAATCACTTGGGATCTCTATATAGGTGTATATAAAGGTCCTAGATGTCTCATAAGCCTATTTTCCTGGGGCCCTCATACCTTTCCTTCCCAAAGTCAGTTGATACCTTTTTGATTACATGCAATTGTAGAGTGCTGCCTTGTCAATTTGAATGAGATAAAGAAAGCATTCTATTTCAAAACTGCGCATCAGCTGGGGTGGGTTAAGTAATACTTGGCAACAATTAAAAATAAGCAAGAAAGCCACAAGCTGTACCTATAAGGTTGCTTTAATAATCACTTTTTTACAACTTCTTTATTCTTAGATGTTTATATTGGCCATTATATTGTCATTTGTTTGATAAAAAACATAGTTGAGTAGAAAATTGTGCTAGCCTTGTAGAAAAGGGAACCTGGTTATTTGGACCGTATATGGCCGTAAACAGTGCCCCACTGCTCACTTGGTGGCTGCTTACCTTATTTACAAACCAAATATTTAGGAAAAAATAAACATCGTGTATTGTAGAATGGAATTCTACAGTCCCAAATCTGTAAGATTTTATTCAGTATCTCATAGGGCACCCAGTATAACCTTACAAGAGCAACATTTTGCAAGTTTAAGGTATTTATGACCATGAATGTACTTTTTATTAATTACACTCTATTTCCTGTGGCTATAATATGGTTTTAAAATCTGTGTTCTTTAGTAGAAGCAGTAAATGAGTAGTATGTATTACTTGTTACTGAGAAGCACAATTTTCTGTGCCATTCCTTCTGCCAAATTGTATTAATCATGTTTAGATCATATACGAATACTACAAAGCTAACTCGGTTCATATCACAAATCACCCTCAATGTAGCATGTGTGCCTGATCCAGATCTCAACTTTGTTTTCCTTAATATGTTTAATCTGCATAATTATAGTTTTGTTGACTTTCAGTTTCCTTCAAGCAGAGAAGCCCTTTGAAAACCAAAAACTTAACCATCTCCTCTTTGCCAAAAAAGAAAAGTCTGAAAAAATATGTGTTAGATAGTTTAAGTCTGTTCACTGTGAAATGGTTTCAAAGAGGTGTTGACTTTGGGAGAAATTAGAAGAAATGTTGCCACTTTTGCCACCCACTCAGTATGAGCCACCTGTGTGATGTGGCTGCCACAAACAGTGAAGCAGTATTAGTTTAGTAGTAACGGAAGTACAGCGTACCAATAGTAGGAAGATATAGTCCCATTATATTGTGTCTAGTTTTGGTTACCTTATTTTTATATTCTCTTTTATCTTGTTACCCATGTGATGTGCCATTGGCACACATTTTCAAAATAACTGATCATATTGAAATACAAAGGGAAAAGCTATCTGATCCACAGTATCATCTGAAGTCTAAGCCATGCTTTTTTTTTAAACAGCATCATTCTATAAGTGGAAAGCCATCTGATAAATCAAGAAAAACAAAAAGACCATTATTGTATTAATGATCAAAGGATTTTAAAGAACTGCTTCCTATGACTCTCCAACAAGGATTCACTTATCCTGATTATAAAATAAAATATATAATTGGCAAGTTGTCATTTTTTGAGAAAATTTAAAGCAATAATCTATCACCTTAAGAAACATTTTCAAGGCAGATTAGAGTTTTTGCAGCTTGCATTTGAAAATTAGAAATTTTATATTGGAGATATAAAATAAAATACCTAGTTTTTTTAAATTATTTTTTAGTGTTACATGTGAACAAAACATTCTAGCCATATACTTTGAAAAACTGGAGCTAATGGAACTTCTTTTTCTATCCTTGATGTGCTCATTCAAGTTTTCTATTAAAGTTAGAATAATTTCATTTTGAACATGTAGAGTTAATTTCCATCATGTTGGGTGTTATAGCAAAAAGCCAAATTAGAATATAATAGCAGCATGACTGAGTAAAACAAAAAATCTTTGTTCTTAACATTGGACTTACTTGAAGAGAAAATAGAAAATAATGCAGATGTTTATGTTTCCTTTTAGGTCTTCGGATAACTGTGCTTCTGACATCTTTCCTTATGGTTTTGGGAGCTGGTCTAAGATGCATACCTATATCAGACTTAATGCTCAAAAGAAGGTAAATCCTATAAATAACTAAAATTTTTCCTATATTTTTAAAGTTTGTTATGAGTCTATTATATATGTTTGGTTATATATAAATTTTTAGTGAACAGTTCCATTTCTAAGATGATCAGTAGAGGTTTATATTTATAGTCATATTTATTTTATTCCCTATATGATGATTCAGTATAGACATTAGTTGTCATAGGGAAGATACTATACTAGTTACATAAATAAAAAGAGAACAAGTTCATCTTCATACTATCCAGCAGCATAATAACCACAGGAAAATAACAGTGTAACATAAGAAAGAATAATGTAGTTAATGCCATAGAAGAGGTATAAAATTGCCCTGAGAAACTGAGAGACATTTTGGCTAAGGGTATCAAAAACAAGAGTTCTTAAGGGAGGTGACGATAAAACTAGGCATTGAAGAATGAGTAGAATTTTAATAACTATAGTTAGGGGAAGGATATTCTGGGGTAGAGGAACTACAGGAGCAAAGGCATGGAGGCAGGTAAGTGTAGGCCTCTTCTGGGATGGGTAGGTAGTTTCATTTCTGCAACTGGGGTCCATGGATTTATTCTTAGGGGGTGCAAGGTATATGAAGATTTTAAATTTTTGTTTTCCTTTTCGTTATAATATTAAAAATTATTTTGCCGGTAATAATCTGTAATTAAAAGACATTTTTATTGACCAGAACATCAGTTTCTTAAATTAGTGTTTCTCAAACTTGGATATGACCTTGAAAGCCATTGAGAAATTTTTTCCTTTAAAAAGACCCATAAATTATTCAGATTTGGGGGTACAGAAGAAAGTATAAGAATGGATTATAAAGAGATGAGTTTAGAACAGGGTATCCAGATTATGAAAGATCTTGTTGCCATCCTGTAGAATTGTCTTTTCCTCACTGGACAGTTGGGAACCACTTAGGTTCTGAATCAGAGTAGCAATAGAATCAGACCTGTTAGGCAAACTATGTGAGGTACGTAGGATTAATTACAGATACTGTCAGCAGGAGACCAGGAAAGATGTAGTGAGAGCCCAAGCTAGAGTCATTCTTTTGTTTATTTGTTTATTCATTTATTAATTCATTCATTTAACACAATATACAGAGCTCCTACTGTGTGTTCTGGGCACAGGGAATACAGCAGACAACACAGTAGACAAATCCCTGCCTCATGGAGTTTACTTACCAGTTGGGGAGATTCACAATAAACTAGGTAAATAAGTAAAATACAGTAAAACCTTGGATTGCAAGTAACTTGGTTTGCGAGTGTTCCGCAAGATGGGCCAACATTTCTAATACATTTTAAAGTGGTAAACGCGCGATGTCTTGCAATACATTTGTTTCCAGAATGAATTATGCTCGCAAACCAAGGCATTACTGTATATATTATGTGCTATGGAGAAAAAATTAGGAAAGAATGATTTGAAATGTCAGGGGAAGGATGGTAAAATTTCAGAAAGAATGGCTGAAAACAATCTCTTTGGGAAGATCACATTTTCAGATAAAAACCTGAAGGAATGAGGCATTATCTAGGGGACGAGAATTCCAGGCAGAGAGAATAACAAGGGTGAAGAGTGGGAAGAGAAGAGCACAGCTGGCAGGGAGACTGGTATGGCTGGAGCTGAGTGAAAGTCTTCTTGCAAAGAGGGGTAAAAATGAGACCATGGCAGTGGGAGTGTGAGGCAAGGTCCTTTAAGACTGTCAGCTTTTTCTGTGCTAGGAAACCACTGGAAGTTTTGAGCTGAGGAGAACCATAATCATTGTTTGCTTTATTGAGAATAAACTGAAGCTAGAGGTCAAGGGCAGTAGTAAGGAGACTTGTTAGGAAACCAGTGCAATAAACTAGGTGAGAAATGATGGTGACTTGGGTCATAGTGGTGGCAGTGGTGGTGGTGAGACGTCAAATCCTGATTATATTTTGAAGGATTTGCTGATGGATTGGATGAGGGGAATAAAAGAAAGAGTGGACCGCTGCAAAGTGGCAATAGAGGAAACATAACACAATGTAATAAAGGCCATATATGACAGACCCAAAGCTAATGAGATACTCAAAAAAAGCTAAAAGCGTTCTCCTTAAGATCAGGAATAAGACAAGAATACCACTTTCATCACTTTTATTCAACATAGTATTGGAGGTCCTAGCCACAGCAGTTAGACAAGAAAAAGAAATAAAAGGCATCCAAATTGGAAAGAAAGATGTAAAACTGTCGTTGTTTGCAGATGACATCATACTGTATATAGAGAACCCAAAATATTCCACCAAAAACACTATTCGAACTGATAAATGAGCTCAGTCAAGTAGCAGGATACAAAATTAATATTCAGAAATCGGCTGCATTTTTATACACCAGTAATGAATTGTTGGAAAGAGAAATGAAGAAAACAATCCCATTAACAATTGCACCAAAACAAACAAACAAACAAACAAAAAATCTAGGAATAAAATAAATGTAACCAAGGAGGTAAAGACCTATACTTGGAAAACTGTGAGACACTGAAGAAAGAAATTGAAGAAGATACAAATAAATGGAAGCATATACCGTGCTCATGGATAGGAAGAATTAACATTGTTAAAATGTCCATCCTACCCAAAGCAATCTGTAGATTCAGTGCAATCCCTATCAAAATACCAATGGCATTTTTCACAGAACTAGAATAAATAATCATAAAATTTATATGGAACCACAAAAGACCCCAAATAGCTACAGCAATCTTGAGAAAGAAGAACAAAATTGTAGGTATCGCGCCACCTGATATCAAACTATACTACAAGGCTATAGTAAACAAAGCTGTATGGTACTGGCATAAAAACAGACACAGATCAATGGAACAGAATAGAGAGTCCAGAAACAAACCCACTCCTATATGGTCATTTAATCTATGACAGAGGAGGCAGGAATATACAGTGGGGTAAAGCCAGTCTATTCAGTAAATGGTGTTAGGAAAACTGGACAGAAAAAAAAAAAAGAAGCTGGACCACCTTCTTACACCATATACAAGAATAAACTCAAATGGATTAAAGAGGTAAATATAAGACCCGAAACCATAAAGTTCCTAGAAGAAAACATAGACAGTGAACTCTCAGACATTGCTCTTAGTGATATTTTTTCTAATCTGTCTCCTTGGGCAAAGGAAACAAAAGAAAAATAAACAAATGGGACTACATCTAAAAAGTTTTTGCAGGGCCGGTCGAGTGGCGCGATGGTTAAGAACTGGCTTGGGACGCCAGAGGGCCCTGGTTCGGATCCCACATATGAGGGCCAGTGACACTGCCCTCCACAG